GCCTTCAAAGCTTGGGTGAAAGTTCCTGTGGTGACAGATTTATTATTCTTTACATCTATGTAAAAAAATTTATATTCTTTATATGTGTGGTATGCACATAATAAAATTCTTAAAAATTGGAATTAAGAAGCAAATCATAAAAAAAGTAACAAGGAAATACATTTAGAAGATGGCGTGCTTTGGGATGATGACATGTTCTGAGGAGTGGCTGTGGAAGAGGGTGGCAGGTGAGCATTGCTGGTGCTACAAATATCAAGTGTCCAACAGGTCCACATGTTTGAGTGGCCAATAAGGGGATACAGAAATCAACCAGGACAATCATAGGAGCCTACGTGGAAGGGGCAAATATGGGGCAGAGGCCAGAATCCTCTGGGGAGAAGAGGAATTGACCAAAACATCAGTTGAGTATGCATCAGTGACCAGCGGGGTAAGGAATGGTGTAGGTAAATGTCATCTGCCTCCAAGGGGGTCGTCTTTTAATTTTTATCTTTTCATTTTCTCAACAGAAGAGTAAGGGAGTTATAATCTGAAAGCAGCAATGGATAGCCAGGGTGGGAAAAGGCTGCAGAAGAAGCAGTTTCCTCAGAGGAAATCCACAAGGTGGACAGAAGTCCTGAGGATGGCCGAGGAGAAAGAGCAGCTGCTCCACAGGACCGGACGGAAGAGCTGGAGCTGCCGGGACAGAGTTGGCCAAGAAAGCACCGCACATTAAGGAACTGATCCCGTGTGGTTTCCTCTGCCTGCGGGGCTTACACACTGGACACGGCCAGCCAGAACCCTGGGGAGAGCCTTTTCTCACTGCTGTCACTCCTTCCTCTTCTAGCCAAGGGTCCTCAAGCTGTGAGGGAAAGGGACTGGAACAGGGTCCAGTGGCTGGGTTGCACCAAGCCTGATCCCCCGTGGCTCCTCCCATGGGTGACATTGCCTCCTGGTCCCTCCCAGGCAAGCCTTGGGACCTCTTGTCAAAACCCAGAGTAGTCCTCTTCTACACATATGTTCTAGTTTGTATAGAGATGACACTAACCATGTTTATACAACCTACTACTTATACACAGTGGATGGCAAGAGCTTCATGTTGAGTGGCTCATGCACTTTCATTCTAATTATTCCCCACGATTTTTCTGTACAGTAGTTAGTTCTCAGACTGATGATGAGAAGCCTGTTCAGTGCAGATGGGAAATGCTTGTTATGCTAATCGAGTTCTGGATTGTTAGTGAAAATTATTAAATGGAGATGTTACTGATGCCTCTGGTGGAATTAAGGAGGTGACAAGGTAAAAAGCAGAGATAAATGGTTTCTGTGATGATAGGGTGGCTCCAAGTTCAAAAGAAGGAATAGAGAGCTCATTCATTACACATTCTAATTTAAAGGGTAACAGATTTTATAGTAAATTTTTGTAGGAGAAATGGAATAAAATGATAGGAGAATGGCACCTCTTCTTATTGACTAATTCTAAATTAGTTAATTACATTAAATATAGTATTTTAACAAGAAAAAGTTTAGGAAATGTCGACCAGAATAAAAGCTAGAACAATAAATTCAAGGGAAACTCTACTGCATAATCCATGTATTTAGTCAGCAACCCTGAGCAAGAGAAGAAAAGCATGAATCAGACATAAAAGGGACTCTGTAACTACATGCTCAGAGGAAAATAAACTGATTATAAGAAATAAGCATAGCTCTTGACCAATATTTCTGAAAATCTAGAATATGATTATTTTTCTAGGAAAATATTCCTTACCTTTAAGAAGGTGAACAATCTGAATACGCCAATAAACATGAAAAGAAAAAGAAAAAATTCAAAGAATTAACTTTAATAAATGTCCTAAAACAAGACAGTACTAAAATTATGTTTTTTTAAGCATTCATGTTTTAGATAAATCCCATGTTCTAGAACATGCT